GAATATAGCTAGATAAAATAAATTCATCAGGCAAAGAAAACATTAAATATAACAAATTCTTAACACAAAACATCAGGATATCTGGGAAAACATCAAAAGAACAAACCTAAGAATAATAGGGACAAAAGGCACAGAAAACATATGCAAGAAAACTTTCCCAACTTAAAGGATATCCCTATGAAGGTACAAGAAGCTTAAAGAACAACAAATAGACTGGATAAAAAAAAAATCCCCTCGCCATACAATAATTAAAACACAAAACATCCAGAATAAAGAAAGAATATTAAGAGCTGCAAAGGGAAAAGGTCAAGTAACATATATAGGTAAACGTATCAGAATTACACCCAACTTTTCAATGGAAACCAAGAAAGCCAGAAGGTCCTAGGCAGATGTGATGCAGACACTAAAATACCACAGATGCAAGCAAAGATATCTATAACCAGCAAACCTTTCAATCACCATCAATGGAGGAAACAAGATATTCCATGACAAAACCAGATTTAAACAACACATAGCCACAAACCCAGCCTTACTGAAAGTACTACAAGGAAAACCACAAACCAAGAAAGCTAACTTCACGTACACAAACTCAAGCAAAAGATCACCTCACATCAGCAAAACCGACCTGCAAAGACATTGTATCCAATAAACCAAAAGTATTTCACAGATTAGCAGCAACAAGAAAAATAAAACCAAAGTAAATAAAGAAGTATATAATTAATTTTTGGGAACTTGATACCTCAAAACAAAGATACTGTATATAGTAAATTTGCATCATAAAATGAATACAATTCAGTGACAGTTACAACAATTTATAACAGAAAAGCTGATTACAAAGCTACATTCATAGTGGAAACAGAGTGATCAATAAGATTATAAAAAAATAGTACAAAGATTGACATAATACGACTTCTGGCCAGAAAGTGGTGGTGTACATCTTTAATCCCAGCATTTGGGAGGCAGACACAGGCAGATCTCTGTGAGTTCAAGACAGAGAAACCCAAAACTCAAAAAAAAGCTTACATCAAAGCTATAACAATCGTGAATGTGAACAATATTTGAGATAAATATTTAGAAATAGAATACTTAAATTCTACTTTGTGTTAGGAATATTTCAAAAGTGAGCTCTCTGACGACACAAAAATTCCCAAATCAAAACAATCCAAATTAAGAAATATCCAGGTTTAGTGGGAGATCTAAGCTCTCGGGGTGGCCTCAAGGGTAAAACCGGGAAGCTGCAGGAATGCAACCCCCGGGAAGAAAGGGAGACCACATGTTTCTCTTTTGGGGATCACTTAAGTGCCCTAGGGAGGGGTCAAGACCTGGCATGCTGAGATTTGAAGTCCAGACAAGGCTTGGTGGCTGGGATAGAAGCAAAGGACTGGGGAAAAAATGTAGCTCCACCAGACGAGGTATGGAGTGTGGGCTTGAGGGAGTAGGGGAGGAGCCTCAGGCAGCATGGTGGTGAGACAGGCTAAGGTGGGGGAGGATAGCACAGAGACCAAAAAACCATGGACAAAACCCATATATATGTAAGTTTTGCTCATTTGTATCAGGCAGGATCAATTTAAAAGATTTTTTTTGTAAGAGGCTTACAGGGGCAAAAACAGACCTGGCTTTGAACTGTAAGTGCCAATTCAGAGTTTATGCACAACCATGTGGCCTAAGTCCATTTCAGATCGTCCTCCAAAGTGGCAATTCGGTAAAAAGGGGGTCGCAGAGATTGAATGCCCGGCATCCCGATACAAACATATCTCTGCCTCATCCAACCCCAATCCCACAGGATTGACCGCAACCTGACTCGAATTCCCAGCGTGAGCTCACAACTTCAAATGGAAATCCGAAAACGACAAAAATAAGTACGAAAGGGTCCACCCAAACCCTATAGCATAGACAAGAAAAGGAACTCACCAAGACGCAGCTGCTTTAGCCCAGAAGCCGGTTTTAAGCGTGGCATAGAGAGCTCGACCTGCAGACTTGGGGCCTTTCAACGAGGCCTGCTTGCCACGTGTAAAGAATCTGCCCTAGCTCGGTGGGAGCCTCCAAATGTTAGGAATATTTCCTAAGCGAGCTCTCTGACGACGCAAAAATTCCCAATCAACCCAAATTAAAACATGCCAAATTAAGAAATACCCAGGTTTAATGGGAGACCTGCGCTCTCGGGTGGCCTGAGGAGGAAACCGGAAGCCACAGGAAAGCGACTCCTGGGAGGAAGAAAGGGAGACCACGTGTTTCTCTTTTGGGGGAATCACTTAAGTACCCTGGGGAGAGGTCCCGACCCCACCCCCAGGGAGGGGTCAGGACCTGGCATGCTGGGATTTGAACTACAGACCAGGCATGGTGGCTCGGATAGCTGCGAAGGACTAGGGCCTAAGCTCCCAAACTAACACTTTGTGTGACTTAATGTCTCCTAAGAACTGGTAAATCCTTATACCATTAATTCTATTATCAATTCTACTCTTCTACATCAGTTTAGCAGCGGAGTGCTACTCTACACAGGAGAAACCTTTTACAAGCCCCACAAAATTAACTACAGACGAATCCTAAACCTAAATGTTAAAAGTGCAGAACTTCTGAAGACCCAGGAGAGACCACAAGTCTCCGAGTTTGGCATATTTGGTGATATCTCTCCACATGCAACAAAATAAGCACTATAAGCACCATCATTTGCGACTCCCTATGCTCTGCTCTGTGCAGACACAGCCCAGGCAGTGAAGTTATTCAGAGGCTGCCAGCAGGGAGTTGCAAGGATCACTCAGAACTACTTAGGATGAGGCAGGACGAGGCAGGAACACACTAAACTCTTTTTTTCCACTGGCTCCCACCCAGCCAGGGGAGGACACACCACACCAGACCCGAGCCTCAGCAGGCCGCTCCACCTAGTTTGGGGACAGTGGCCCCTCACCCGCCAAGCCCAGTCACTCCTCCACACGTGGGGACGTTATCCCCTTACTCACCTTGGCACACCGCTCCTCCTATCTGTGGAGAGCAACCCCTCACTCACCACGTTGTAGCTGCCAAGCTCAAATGCTGTCTCCCAACAAGGGAGCCCAAAGCGCAGAGCAGGAGAGAAAGGATGATTTCTTAGGGAAGAGCTAAACAGGAAGCCTGGCTACCAAAAGAACCCTCCCATTTGACTGGTGGGTCTGCTGGAGGCTCTGATTGGCTAGTGAGGTCTGAGTGACAGAACCAGGTGAGCAGAAGGTTCACAGGGCAGAGTTCCCAGCACTGGCTGCTAATTATAATTCAACAACAAATCTCTTGCTAATGTAAATCGGTTTTAAAAGGAAGTATACAAATTCAGAAAGAGGCAAGTCAGACAATGTTGCACAAGAAATACACTGGGACGCCGGGCGGTGGTGGCGCATACCTTTAATCCCAGCACTTGGGAGGCAGAGGCAGGCGGATCTCTGTAGGTTCGAGACCAGCCTGGTCTACAAGAGCTAGTTCCAGGACAGGCTCCAAAACCTCAGAGAAACCCTGTCTCGAAAAACCAAAAAAAAAAAAAAAAAAAAAAAAAAGAAATACACTGGGTAACTCAAGTACATTATAAACAAAGTCCTCAGTGGTGTTGGGACAGATAACCAGTTTTCACCCTTCTGTGAAAAGTCTTGGGTTCTGAGAATCTGAAACAACCCTTTTCCAAAGGCCCTGGCCCTACATCTTTACCAGCTCTACCAAGTGTATTCCCGAGATTAGAGACAGAGCTCTGTTATTGCTCTATACATCAGGGCCTTAGAGAAACCTCCCAAAGCCTAGGCAGTTGCCAAACTCAGAGAGGACTGGTCACAAGTGTCTTTTAGAAGTTCTGCACTTAGCATTTGATGTTTAGGTGTAAGGTCCGTTTGGAGTTAATTTGTGCAAGTTAAAAACGACATCTCATGTACTGTGTAGTACTCCACTACTCAGTCGCGATGTTTTTTTTTTATATATTTAACATTTAACAAAGGATATTTTTTGAGACAGGATTTCTCTGTATAGCCCTGGCTGTTCTGGAACTCGGATATAGACCAGGCTGTCATTGAACTCACAGAGATCCACATAACTCTGCCTTCTTTGTGCTGGGATTAAAGGCCAGGATTATATTTTTATTTATGTGCATGTGTGTCTGTGTAAGTATGTTCATGTGAGTGTAGGTACCCGAGGATGCCAGAGAGCATGTTGAACACCCAGAAGTGGAATTAAAGGAGGTTGTGAGACTTCTGATATAGGGTCCTCTGCAAGAGCAGTAGGCATTCTTAACTGATCAGCCATCTTTCAAGTGCATATTCACCAGTTTCACTGAGTGAAATAACAAATATGTGGTGATCTCTTTTCATTACTTTTTCTAATGTTGATTTTTGGTTTTGGTTTTTTTGTTTTGTTTTGTTTTCTGTTTTTTTTCTTTTTCAAGACAGGGTTTCTCTGTACAACAGCCCTGCTGTCCCGGAACTCACTTTGCAGACCAGACTGCAAAGAAAGGGTGTGAAATTTAGCTCTCAGTTACTTTATCCTAGACAAATCTCTTAATTTCTCAAAGTTTTTTCTGTAAAACTCTCTAGGAGGCTTATAAAGAATTAAGTGAGCACAAATTATTGCACACAATGGACCACTCAATAAAAGATAGTTATTCTCAATTATTATGAGGAAACGGAATGTTAGAAAGGTTCACACGGGGTTAATCAACTCCGAAGTCGAGGTTGTAAATCAAGATTTCTGTTCTATATTAGACGCTGGAATGAATTAATCAGACAGGATCTGAGTCCTAAAGGGTTTCAACCAAATATGGGGAAAAGACAATAAATAATATAGTCTCATAGGAGAAATATCAAAATTATGTGAAAAGCACCCGAGTAACACAAAGAATGGGAACTAATGCTGCCCAGAGAAATCACAGGGAACGTGACACGACCTGGATTGACAGTGGGATTAGGGAAAAAAAAAAATCTAGTCGTTGAGTTTTAAAAGCTTCCGGAACCGAAGTGCTGCGGGAGGAGAGAGAAACTCGGTCGGATTTTGTAAACGGACCTGATTAAAACCTTCCGGCCGCGTTTCAGAAGCCTAGGGGTCGTGGCTGCCGGGGCGGGTTCTCGGTTTTCCTTTGAAGGTGGAGTAACTAAGAATGAGCGGAACCCTGGGGAAGGTAATGTAGATTTCACGTGCACAGGGCGCTGGGGAGGCCGAAGACAAAGCAGAGCTGGAAGGTGGCGGCGGGTAGCTATCCGGGCCTAGAACTCTGCGAACTTGCCCCTCCCAGCAGTCCTTGCGGTGCCTCGCGGTCTGTTCCTCCCTCCGCCCAGGGTGAATTTTGCAGTCTCGCGTCACGCCCCCTCCACTTGTCTCCTGGATGTTCTCTGTCCTGGAAGAAAGAGCTCACTGAGGGAATTAAGACGCCACGGCATAGTCCCCATAAATTGTCTGACCTTAGGCAGGTCATTTTATTTTTTTACGTTAAACCAACTTTAAGAATCATGTCTTGTTGAAGTGGTTGGGTTATGAATGAAGCTACTCGGTGAGAAGAAGAATATGAAAATGATAGATTACATTTTTGTTTACAAAACCTTATTTAAGAGTCTGTCAAAGAAGAGGGTGAACAAACCACCTTGTTGTTACTCTTTGGCTTCCAAAATCTTATTTAAGAAGAACCAGCCACTTCATCCTGTTTTGTTTTCCCCTCCCCCCTCTCCTCCCAGTCCGTCACCCCACCCCCACCCCCGCCTTCATTCTTTTTATGAGAGTAGGGGCTCACCACGTAGCCCTGACTGCTCTTGAACTCACAGCCCTCCTGCCTCAGCTTCACCAGTGCTTGGATCACAGGCATGCACCACTGACCTAGCTAAATCACCATTCTTAAATCCAGTCTCTATTTTTCTCTTCCCATGACAAATTTAACAGATCTCAGTTGGGGTTTTCATGTGTGTTGTGCTGCTTAGATTTTTGATATTATTTCTCTCTCATCATATTGAGATTTTATTTTAGGCATTAATTGTAAATATTAAATCTATAAATCCATATGCTTATTGCTACTTGTGGATATGTGGGACTAAACTTGAATGTATCTAAATTTAAGTTTCTCTTTTCGTCCTTTATAAAGGACTCACTGGTTATCCAATTTGCGATAACAGGTCTGGAGCAAGGATAATAGGAATAAGTCAATTTTAACATTCCAGTCTATTCTCTGGCTCTGTTTGTCTTCCTTCCAAGGAATGCTGGAAGGGAAGAACAGTGTTCTAAAAAAATGTGATTTCCAACTACTCAAACTCTAAAAGAGCCATTGGAAACTTGGAATTAAGGCCATCATCTGACAAAGTCAGGCATTGGCATTTAATCCCACAACTTGGAGGGTAGAAGCAGGAAGATGAGGAGTTCAAGGACAGGATTTGTTACAGATTGAGTTTGAGGCTAGCCTAAGATACTTGACACCATGTCTCAAAAATTAAAAAAAGAGGGGCTGGAGAGATGGCTCAGTGGTTAAAGAGCACTGCCTGCTCTTCCAAAGGTCCTGAGTTCAATTCCCAGCAACCACATGGTGGCTCACAACCATCTGTAATGAGGTCTGGTGTCTTCTTCTGGCCTGCAGACATACACACAGACAAAATATTGTATACATAATAAATAAATAAATATTTTTTAAAAAAATTAAAGAAAAACAAAAAAAGTCATAATTTAGTAAAAGCAGCACGAGAAAAAATGCCATGAGAAAGAGTTCACCTGGAGGGTTTTGTTTTGTTTTGTTTTGAAGGAAAAGGGAATGTAAAAGGAGTGAAGGGGAGTGGGGACAGTCTCTGGGGACAGGAGCAGCAGAAGGGAGAAAGACAGAGACAGATGGAGACAGAGAAAGGAGGTGGACAGGGCCCTTTTATTTTTTTATTTTTTTTGGTTTTTTCGAGACAGGGTTTCTCTGTGGTTTTGGAGCCTGTCCTGGAACTAGCTCTTGTAGACCAGGCTGGTCTCGAACTCACAGAGATCTGCCTGCCTCTGCCTCCCGAGTGCTGGGATTAAAGGAGTGCGCCACCACCGCCCGGCCTGACAGGGCCCTTTTAAAAGGGAATATAAACAGGTGATGCTCTTAGTGGCTTCAGCAGAGGACCAGTACAGATGTCTGAATACTAATACAAAAGGTATGATTGAGGATACTATAAGTAGAGTGAATACTTTGTAAGGGACAAAAAATGGTGCTAATAGGGATGTTGGTGTCTTGTAGTGATTTGTGTATTTTTATTTGTTCTTCACATAGTTTTGTGGTTTTTTTGTTCTGTTTTTTCGAAACAGGGTGTCTCTGTGTAGCTTTGGTGCCTGGCCTGGAACTAACTCTTGTAGGCCAGGCTAGCCTCGAACTCACAGAGATCCACCTGCCTCTGCCTCCCGAGTGCTGGCATTAAAGGCTTGTGCTGCCACTGCTGAGCAGCTCTTCATATATTTTTAAGCAATCCCAGCAGACAGAATAGATGTGGACATTTAAATGTCAATGGTTATAAAATCTGTGCTCGTAATGGCCTATGGGAAGATAGATATTGATAGTCAGTGTAGTCATGTTGGAAGAGGATAGCCAAAGGAAACACTAGAAGCAGCAATTTTTTGAGAGAACTTAGAAAAACTTGAAAGCATTGATCATTGTACTCAAATACTTGAGGTGCTAGTATGAAAAAGAACTGCATTTATTCTGTTATACAAGAGAAACTAGGTTCAAACTGTGGAAGACACAGGGAGATTGGTTTGGATTTTCTAGGTGTGAGACCCTTCTGACAGTTCGAGATGTCTGCAAATGTTCAGGTTCTAAACCAGGAAGGTTTTTTTTTTTGGGGGGGGGGTTGTTTGTTTTTTTTTTTGTTTCGTTTTGTTTTGTTTTTTTGGGGGGGGGGGGAATATAGCACCATCTGTCCTGGAAACTCTACAGAAAGCAGACTGGTTTCAAACTCATGGAGATCCACCTGCCTCTCCCTCACCCAGTTACTGGGATTAAGGGCATACACCACCATGCCTGTTTACATTAGACATTTTAATTCACTCATCAATAAGTATTATTTACACTTATGTAGTGTATAACACATATATGTTTTTATTCAAAGGGAGTGGCACTGCTAGAAGGTAGTGTTGGACTCTAGCGCCCAAACACCGAGAAGGAGTCGCCCCCAGAGACCATCTCACACACCACAGCCGATGCAAAAGCATGAGGATTTTATTAATTCTGTCATGACAGGGTCCCCCAGCATTCGGGAAGCCGAGGGACCTCGAATAGCTGGTACAGTCTACTTTTAAAGGGGCCACAGAAGCAAGGGGGGTTGTTCTTTGACTATTCTGATTGGCTTATTTGAAAGGACTATTACCAATAATTGACTGGAGAGCTGTTGCCAGATCAGATGAGGTAAGAGGTCATTTTGACCCCGTTTCCCAGGGGACCGAACCAAAACTTACGTATATGGGTAATTGTTCAGGAACTGAGTATGTGCAAGTGTAGCTGTTAGGTCCTTGGTTCCCAGGGGAGGAGGGGAAGCACTATGGCACAGAGGCTGAGAGGATTCAGAATTGTCAAAAATGGCTTCAGGATTGTCTTAAAGTCTTACAGTATGGCCTTGTTGAAGGAATTGTGTCCCTGTAGTGATGGTCTTTGAGGTATCTTTTTCTCAAGCTTCCCTCATTGTGAGTCAATCAACTTTCTGTTGACTGAAAAATGTAGCACTCTCAGCCCCAGCACCACATTTGCTGTACGTTGATACTGTCCCCTTCGTGATCATAATGAACTGAACCTCTGAAAATATGAGTAAGCCACCCTCAATTAAATGTTTTCTTTGTAAGAGTTGTCATAGTTAGCTAGGCGGTAGTGGCACACGCATTTAATCCCAGCACTCAAGAGGCAGAGGCTGGTGGATCTCTGAGTTCCAGGACAACCTCGTCTATAGAGTGAGTTCCAGCATAGCTAGGGCTACACAGAGAAACCCTGCCTCAAAAAAAAAAAAAACTTTATTATGAGTGTGTATGCATGTGGTGTGTATGTGTGTCACATTACAGGTGTGTGCTTCCCATGGTGGCATGTGGAGGTCAGAGGAAAGCTTTCAGGAGTTGGTTTGCTCTTCCACTAGGAGATCCAGGAATCAAACTCAGGTCATCAAGTTTGCCCAGCAAGCACTTTTACCCACTGTGACATTTCATCAGCTATCCCTCTGATGATATAACTATAGTGGTTTATTATTTGTGTTTTAATAAATAAAGCTTACCTGCAGGCCAATGCAAAGCAGCCACGCTAGTCAACCATACAGGCCAGGTAGTGGTGCATGCCTCTACTCCCAGCACTAGAAGAACTTTCTCTCTTTAAATCTGAAGATTTCAAAGAGGTAAGAGCTCTCTGGTGGCTTGGCTGCTTCGCATTTCTGATCTTCAGGTTGAATCCCAATATCTGTCTCTGAGTTTTTATTATTTGTGCTACATGTATCACTAAGTACCATCTCTTCATATGAGAGAGGAAGTGTAGAATAGTGGAGAAATTATGGACTTTAGAGCCAGAAAACCCTTAAATCCTCTGCTAGCTTTGGGGAGTTACTATGTGACTTTGAAGTAGATTTAGTTTTCTGCACTATAAAATAGGGTTAGTAATATTTATCTTGTGTTGTGATTTAGACACAGGATGGGCATTCAGCAAAATAGATAATTAATATATGACTGCAAGGAGTTCCATTTATTTATTTATTTATTTATTTATTTTGGTTTTTACGAGACAGGATTTCTCTGGTTTTGGAGCCTGTCCTGGAACTAGCTCTTGTAGACCAGGCTGGTCTCGAACTCACAGAGATCTGCCTGCCTCTGCCTCCCGAGTGCTGGGATTAAAGGCGTGTGCCACCATCGCCTGGTCCATTTATTTATTTATTTATAAATTTTCCCCAAACAAAACTTGAATGTGTACCTTAGAGGAACAGGACTGAACCTCACCCCTGAAGATGGCTCAACATAGAAGGCATTGGATGATATTAAGCATCTCGGAGAAGTAGTTTGAAATAATGTATGTAAACTGAAGTCATATATGAACCTTTTCTTCGTCAGTGCCTTTTAAGCACTTATCTCAGGAGATGGTTCTTTATTTTGAACAGATCTTCAGGAACGTCTATAAGCTGCAAAAGCACAGGACTTCCAGCCCCAGGAAGTCCTGCCAGGCATACTTGCTGTTAATAAACATAAAAATAAAAAACATATGTTTTTATTTCATTACATAATATCTATAGTTTCTTTTGGCTGTTTAATATAAGTATTAACATTCCATCAACTCTAGAACAAACCTATACTCCTTATCTGTCATCCCCCACGCCATTCCCAGCCCAGCAACTGTTAACTCTACTTCCTTTCCCTATAGACTTGAATATTTCATTGAAAGGGAACCTGTCCTGCAGTATTTAATCTTTTGTGACTGGCTGGCTTGTTTCACCTGATATATTGCCTTTAAAGTTCATTGTGTTCAATACATTTTGATTTTGTATTCCTTTTAATATGCAGCACAGTATTTGGTACTTACTTAGGCTTTTTAAAAAGAAACTTTGTTGCCTGAGAAAGTACACAAGGCCTGGATTTTCTAGTACCATAACAATAACGAATAAAGAAAGAAAGAAGTTACTGTTTTAGAATAGCTTTAGATTTGAAAAAAAAAAGTGTTAATACCATGAAGAGTTCACATAAAGCCCACTCTTCTCTATTAACATTGTAGAGCCTGTGAGCTGGCTCAGCAGATAAAGGGACTTGCTGCCAACCCTGACAAACTGAGTTTGATTCCTGGGACCCATATGGTGTAAGATGAGGACCAATTTCCTCAAATAGTCCTCTTATCTGCACATGTACTCTCCCACCTTAAATAAAGAAATACATGGGAAAATATATTAGTAGTGTAATTTCCATGAATAATAAACCAGTATTGATATCCTATTATTAACAAAGACCCATACTTTATTCAGGTTTCTTTTGTTTTTATCTAATTTCTGGTTCAATATCCATCCTGACATTATATCCCATTTAGTCATTATATTTCCTTAAGGTAGTCTTGACTGGGACAGTGTCTCAGTTTTTTTATGTTTTTGTATAATCTTTTTACATATACATGTCAAAAGAATTGTAATTATTACCCATGATGAGCAGAAATTCAGATGTTTAGAATTTATTGTCTAGAACTTCTATGTGCCACATTCTTCCTTATTAAGAAAGTACATTGATCTTTCACGTAGATGCTAGCAGGGCAGAGTGAGGTTAAAATATCGGTTGCCTCCTCTCTTAGTATTGTTTTCTCTCATGTGGTAATGTGATTATTCCTGCTGCTCTTGAGGGAGTTGGTGTGCTGTAAGACACAGCCTTTGGAGTGAGATAGTCTTCTTAGTCTCTTGTTAGCTGCCATCTTTAAGAAGTAAAACCTTTCTAGGCTTTAGTTGCCAAAAATTATCTTTCAGTGTTTGAGAATTAAAGAATATTTAAGGAAGGCCCTCTTAGTATGCAGTGAATGGCAAATCTATATGTTATGGTTGAAATTAGAAAAATGTATCAAATTTGGAAAGGGAAATGGGATGAAAAATTGTGGGAGAGGGGTTTTGGTTTTTTTTTAATCTGTAGTGGGCAGAGAAAGAAAAAAGGACCTTGGTTTGCTTGCCAGGTAAGAGCCCTTTGGTACATTTTGGTCTATATACTGTGGGGTTTCCATGTGAGATGAGGTGCTTGGCTTTCTGAAAGGTTAAGATCCTCACATGACTGTTGTCTTGTAGGTGCTGGGCCTGTGGAAAGATGCTGTTTCTAAGCAAGCCTTTTCTCTCCTGAGGTAAGGATATTAATGATAAATACAGCCAACAGTAGATTCATAGCTGTTATAGATTTTGCTTTTATATCCACTAAGTGTTTGCAAAGCACTTCAAATTTTAATTCTCTGCCACATTGCTCTTCAGCAAAAAGCAGTTCCATTCATTTCATGGTTCAGAACCTTGGAGTTACCTTGATACTGTCATTTCTCTTGTTCCTCTGGTATGGGACAATTATCTATTTTCTGTCAATTATGCTTTAAATAAATGCTGATTGGCCAGTAGCCAGGCAGGAAGTATAGGTGGGACAACCAGACAGGAAGTACAGGCAGGTCAGTGAGAACAAGAGAATTCTGGGGAGGAGGAGCCCATTCCTCCCCAGTCCTGTCCCAACCACAGAAGAAGGAAGATGTGATTGCACCACTAAAGAAGGTACCAAGCCATGTGGCTAACATAGATAAGAATAATGGGTTAATATAAGTTATAAGAGTTAATTAAAAGCCTGAGCTAATGGGCCAATCAGTTTATCATTAACATAGACCTCTGTGTGATTTCTTTGGGGCTAAATGGCTGTGGGACCTGGTGGCAGGACAGAAACCCAGACAACAGTTCCACCATTTATCAACAGAGCCTATTGGCTCCACTGTAACATTTACAGAGTCAAACCATATTTTACTGCCCTTTTAGCCTCATGCTTCCAGTTTTGCTAAGCTCTTGGGAATGAGCTCCTCATCTGTTCTCCATGTTTACTTTTTTCCCCACTTCATACTGAAATTGGGGTGATTCTTTCAAATGTATTCAATTACATCATTCCTCTGCTCAGAATTCTCAAATGGTATGCTATCTTTATTAACTATGGTCTTAGTGTTATTATCAAATAAGGATTGACTTAACAGTTTGAGTGTACGGTCAGTCCATTGTGGTGGAGAAGGCATAGCTTCCTCAATCAGTGGAGAGGTGAAAGCTCTCAGTTAAACTTCTCTGGGAACACCCCCCTAGACATACCCAGAGATGTGTCTCCTAGGTAGTTCTAAATTCAGTCTCGGTATACTATTATACCATCTTACTCAAAATAAATTTTATGATCCTTATCTTGGCCTGCAGCATTTAGTAACTGAAGTCTAAAGAGAGTGAAATCTATTGCTTTAAAATGGTATAATTTATATAAATTAGAATTAGGTTTCAAATCCAACATTTTTTGTTTGTTTTTAAATCGTATCTATTGAAGACTTTCTCTTTTTGCTCTCTTTCCATTTCAATATATTTTTCATGATTATTTATCTATGTTAATAAACACCTGCAATGATACTAAGGCATTTTATATCTTATCTCTAACCTTCACAAAAATATTATAGAACAAATACAAATGCCATCATTTCATAAAATAGGAAACTGACTCAGTTTAAGATAGCATTTCAGCCTTATGAGATTATCTGTTATTACCTGTTCTTTAAGGATGAAATAACAGAATTACAGTGACATAATACAACTTGCTTAATGTCATGGTTTAGAAATGGTTCAGTCAGCATTCCATTACAGATTTGTTTGTAACACAGTTTGGTTTCAAAGCTTCTCAATGTAGAAACTAGAATGCTGCAGATACCTACTCAGCTAGACCAGAGCTTGTCTGACTGTCCTGTTCTCCTGACCTCTGTGCAGCCTAGTTCTCATTGTTGTCCCTTTTCCTCCATCCTCTCGTAGTCTACTCTGCCACTGCAAGGCTCATCTGCTTTGGTCTCACGGCTTCCCATTTCATCTCAAAATTGTTGCTGAGTGGTGTGGCAAGTCCTTTTGTCTGTGTTGCTTTTATTGGTTAATGAATAAAGAAGCTGATTCTTATGTGTGTAGAACTACAGAGCTAGTTCCTGACTGTCCTGGAACTAGCTCTGTAGCCGAGGCTGGCCTTGAATTCAGAAACCCTCCTGACTCTTCCTCCCAAATGCTGGAATTAAAGCTGTGACTGGAGTTTCTTGTACCATTTTCAGATTTGGCTTTGTGTGGTGTGGTTCTTAGACTTGACCATATCTACATGGTAGCCCGAAGGTCCTGAAGCAACTGAGTTCAGAAGAGAAAGATTTTTTTTTTTAATTTTATATTACAGGTGTTTTGCCAGCGTGTAAATAGTATCAGGTCCCCTTGGAACTGGAGTTAGACACAATTGTTAGCTCCCATGTGGGTTGAACCCAGGTCCTCTCAAAGATTAGTCAGGGAGGAGTCTTAACCACTGAGCCACCTCTCCAGCCCACAGAGAAAGAAATTTTTAAAAACATTCTATGTGTATGAATAGTTTGCCTGCATATATATATGTGTGTACCATTTGTATGCCTGTTGCCCAGGGAGACCAGAAGAGGGCATTGGATTTCCTGGAACTGAAGTTATAGACAGTTGAGATCTGCTGTGTGGATGCTAGGTACTGAACCTGGGTCCTTTGCAAGAGCAGCAAGTACTTTTAACCTCCGAGCCATTTCTCCATCCTCTAGTTCTTAATTTTAAAAAACTCACTTTAAATATTTCTATTTCCCTATTTCCACCAACCTGGTTGAAGAGACCATACTTCTTTTGACTCTTGTACATATTTCTGTTTTGGATCAGTGCTTTCTCATTTGTTTGTATTTACCATTCCCAAGTGGATCTTGTAAGAGATGCTGTACTTAGTATTTGCATCCTCAGGACTACTTTAACTGCTATATAATAGGACCTTAATTATGTTTGTAGAAGGAGAGACTAAGGAAGCATCTACTGTTAGCATATCCTAACATAGAACATAAACGTTATAGTAATACTGCAAATAAATGTGAATATCTAATTATATTCAACATACTTTTCCTCTCGTTTTAGATTCAGAATTTTAAGAGAGAATCCCATTTGTTCTGCAGGTAAGTGATTATATCTTGGTGTGGTCTGCTTTCTGGAAATGACCTTCTACAGTGATTTTTGTCTAGAATGTCTAATGAATTTTTTAGGCGGGTGGCAGGGGCCAGATCCTCCTTTCATAGGCTAGGACTGTGGACAAGAACTTGGAGTGGTTAGAGCAAGAACACTGTAGTGAGTTTGGGTTACACAAGTCTATCACTTCCTTCTTGGGTGATTCTTTGTTTGTTTGTTTTGAGATAAGGTTCTCTGTGTAACCCTGGCTGTCCAGGAACTCACTTTGTAGACTAGGCTGGCCTTGAACTCAGGGATTCACTTATCCTTGTCTCCTAGTGCTGGGATTAAAGGTGTGCACTCCACTACCCGCCGACTTGCTTTTGAGACAGAACCTTACTGTGTCAAGGTTGGCCTTAGAGATTCCCTTCCCTTGAGTTTACAGGTGCTGGGATTAAAGGCATGCCCCATGTCTGGCCCTACAGATATAGCAAGAATATCCTAGGCTATTCGCCACCTACATTCCCAGTCATCTGGGCAGAAAACATGTTATACATCTTTTCCCTTGAAAAGACAACCCTGCATGTCTATCATCCCTGGTGCTGTCTGTGAGCACAAGGACTTTTGTGCTCTCAACAGCTGTATGTCATATAACTAATGAGTACCAGAGATAAAGGAATAAGAAAAAGAACAAATATGAACTCATAGTGCGCAAGACAATATGTAAGAGACTTTAAATATGGTAATAATTTGAATGGTTGCAGGAGTGGACAGACACAGCTTTAGTTTTCCAGTCAACTGTGCCATGACTTTTGTTTTTGTTCTGTTTTTGTGTTGTTTTTCTGTAGCTTTGGTGCCAGTTATGGAACTCACTCTATTGACCAGGCTGGCCTCAAACTCACAGAAATCCGCCTGTCTCTACCTCCTGAGTGCTGGGATCAAAGGCATGTGCTAAAGTCACCACTACCTAGTGATTTTGTTTTTTTAATGACCAGAAGTTTTACATTCTCATATAAGTAAATTTATTAATCTTTGATTTCTAAATTTTATTTCATGCTTAGTTAGATCTCCTTTACCCTACGATTTGTTTGAGACAAAGACTGGCCTTTTAACTTATTATGTAGCCAAGTCTGTTGTTAAACTTAAAGAGCTTCTTCTGCCTCAGCCTCCTATGTGCTGAACTTACAGGTGTGTGTCGTAACACCTGGCAGGCATGATGAGGAGCATGATGAGGAGGCCGTATTCCATTTTGGAGCTGGAGTTGTATTTCAGTTGACATAGTGATTGCTTAGCATACACAAAGCCCTACATTCTGTCCTCAGCATCTTAGTCATGGTGGTATGTGCCTATAATACCAGCACCTAGGAGATGGAGACAGTGGGATCAATCATTCAAGGTCATCCTTGCTATATACCTAATTCCAGCCAATGCAGGCTGTATACTATTTCAAAATTATGTTATAATGATGTTCAGAAGAATGAAGAACAGCACCTTGTTTATACTGTCACTTACCCACTTAATATAAGGACTTTGGGTACCATCTCAGCTGCTCAGTCCAAGGAAAGGCCTGCTTATGGTAATTCTCTTTTTCTTACTTATTTGGACATGGTAGTTCAAAGTAAATATATAAAAGAAAGTGAATGAAGGGAGCTCAGAGTGCTCTGACCACAGCATGAGCAAAAGATAGAAAGGAATATGGTGTGTTTGGGTCTAAGAAGCATTGAGGGGAGGACAAAAAGATATTTTGAGAAAACAACGTGGGAGCTACCATGGAACAACAAATCATTGCAGACCACTTTGGTAGAATATGTGGAGAACCATTTTTGTTTTGTTTTTTAAATTTACATTGAGCATATAGTGTTTCTCAGGGGCTAGCATTTTCTCTGTCCTTAGGGGACTTGATTCTATTGAATAGAGAGAATATGCTGTAATTAGATTCTTGGCTGGTACTATTCATCCCTTTTCTCTACCTGCATGCCATGCTGAAAATGCTTGTTCCAATTTCTAAAGAGAAATGATTAAAACAGAGTTGTTTATCTTATCCTAGATTGATAGGTTTGGTTCCCCTGTTAGTAAACAAAATTCTGAAAAACATTTGTGGTGGAATAGAGAGGAAAGGGGGAAAGTCGGTATAGGTTTACATCTTACAGCTGTGGCAACTGAAGGATTTTTTTTAATCTGAAAACAGGGGGTTTTGTGTCTTTGTCAGTGAAGAGTGGTCTTTCTTCTCAGGAGGCTGGGAGGTTAGTGAGACAACAGGAAACCCAACTTAGTGACACAGGGTAGAGACAAAGAACCCAATTGAATTTACTGAGAATAAGAGGCTTTCAAACTTACACGTGTTACAATAAAAACAACTGGCTAATTAAACAGCTTAACTACTAACAGTTTAACACAAACGTTTTATTTAAGGGAGAAATGGTTAATTTAACATTCGTTTAAGCCAGCTTTTTAATTACCAGCTGCTCTAATTATCGGAATTGCCCCAAACTGAATTTAAGAATGTCTCCTTGCCAAGGAATTCCTGAAGAGGAGAGACTGAGGCAAGCATTTGCAGCCCTTGCAACTTAAGCTGTATCATCATCTTAAAGATCAGTTTCCTGTCTACTTTTTGAAGTCACTGATGGGTAATTGAATGTCTCTATGATTAAACACAATGACTGACATCTGAGTTTTTAATGTACACATTATGTTTTATTATGTAATTCAGGCAGGCATGAGGGAGCTCTGATCTTTGTGTGTTTAGGGCTACAGAATAATGTCACCAAGATGAGGGCAGTAGCCCCACAATGCACCAAAGACATGGTAGCTACAAGACTCTGTAGACTGCCAGTAGAACCTACAGAACAGGAGATGGCATACAGTAATTGTACCTGGATTATAAAGTCAAGGTCCTTAAAATGCTTAGCTAAGGAATGTCATCTTCAAGCAGTGAAAAGCCATCAAGCATTAAAAAATAACAACAAAACCCTTTCTGCCTCATTCAGGGCTGACTATAGCTGGCCAATAGTGAATGCTTCTATAGATTGCATGTATAAAATGAATAAATGACTGAATTAATGAAAAAGTAATCATTAGAAATTTGGTTTAGAAGGACTGTTTTGTGGCTGTAGAGGTGGAGTAAAGCTGTGAGGGTGTAATCAGGACCGGTGACGCCTAGTGACACATACCTAATGCTCTGTCTGTACTCCCTCCCACTCCCTCCACACAACTAAAACAACCATTTAAAACCATAATGGGACTGGAACAATGGATCAGAACTTAAGAGCACTTGCTGCTCTTGCAGAAGACTTGACTCACAAGCATCTGTAGCTCCAGTTCCAGGGGAATCTAAATCCCTCTCTGGCCTCTGCACATATACATGCAAAAAAAAAAAAATACTCATACACAAAATAAAGATAAATTCTTTAAAAATAGCATAAATATAATTTCTTTGTTTATTGCTGTTCATGATGAGATCCAAACCCTTAACAAGGCCCAGGTTTGCTGGTTTCAGCCCTGTAATATCTTTGGTAGGGCCCACTCACTTCACGTCAGCCACACTCACAGCCTTCCTGCTTCTTGCATGTGCCCTGCATGCTATTCTTTATATGCTATTCTTTCAACTATAACACTCATCTTTCATTTTCCCTCTAAAAAACTCTCATTTGCCTGTGAAGTCTATGTTATTATATTATATTATATTTAGTTAGTATATTATTATAGATAGTCAAGAACTTCATAGTCTGATAAACCCAAGTGTAAGTAGTAATTCGACCTCATACATAGAATGACTTGGTCATTTCACCAAATGTTGTGAACTACCTGTATTAGTTAATTTTTTCATTGTTCCAGGCAGATACCTGAGAAGAAGCAACTTAAGTAAGGGAGAGTTTGCTTTGTTTCACAGTTGGAAGGTACATGGTCTGGCATAGTGGGGAAGGAATGGTGGCAGAACAAGAGACAGTTACACTGGTTACACTGTTACACAGTCAAGAAGCAGAGAAATGAATGCTGGTTCTCAGCCAGCTTTCTCTTTTTGGTGTAGCTTGTCTTTTTGATAGTTCTAATCCTGTCAAGCTGACAGTTAATGCTAACCATCACACTGCCATTTTATTTTTATTTATGAATAAAAATAAGAATGATGACTCAAAGTGACTAGAAAAACCAACAAAAGTGTGTGTGTGTGTGTGTGTGTGTGTGTGTGTGAAAGCAAGATATGGCAGTAAGTCCTCCTGCTGAGCCCACTGCATGTGTAGAAAGCCCCTGCTTTTTCTTAATAATGGCATATATACCTGAACCTAGATTTGGGAGGAACGATGTTCACTTAAAATATATATTAAATATTGTGCTATAAACACAAATAAATCAAATCACACTTTTTTGTTTCTTTGTGGTAGCTGGGCTCAAACTTGAATTGGGAGCATTAGGCAAGTGGTGAACAGCTGAGCTGTGTACAGTACTGCACGATTTTTAAGAGTTTATAGAAACTCCTGATTTTTTTTTCTTCTGGCTATTTTCGCTGCCTGCTCCCTTTTCTCCATAGTCTCCATCAGAAAACTTCAAGTAGGCCTGGGCGTGGTGGCTTATACTTGTGATCTCAGTGCTTTAAAGGCTGAGGTAGGAGGAATAAAGGCTGTGAGTTTCAGGCCATCTTGGGCCACATAGTGAGTTCTAGTCTGGGATACAGAGTGAAACCCTGTCTTAAGAAGAATATGGTCCGAGGTATGTGTGTATGGAGGATTTGTGGTCTGTGGTGTGTGTGCACACATATGGAGGACAGAAGACAGTTCTCAGGATTCATTCTCTCTTTCTACATCTGGGTCCTGGAGTTGGAACTCAGTCATCAAGCTTGGCAATAGCACCCTCACCTGCTGAGCCATTGCTCTCAAAATAAATAAATAAATAAAAACTAACAATAACAAAACCAAACATACCAAGAAACAAAAATGTCAAAGGGTGGCTTGTTGAGGAACAAGAAGAAATGAGAGTCTCATTAAAATATATTTTGTTCCCTTGACCACCTTTGACTTTTCAGGAGAGATTTTCACAAAGAAAGCTAATTAGTGGGAGCTAAAGAAAGGAGGAAAAGAAAGGGAAAACTGGGAATAAGCAAGAACTACCTTAATACGTATGTTCCTTCTGTCTCTGATTTGTCTTGTCTTCCCTTAGGTGGTGTTGTAATGAGGTCCAGTCGGCACTACAGGACAAAGCCTACTCATGGCATTGGCAGATACAGACACTTGGTGAAAGTGCTAGAGGTGAGCTACAGGCAGATGTAGTAGGCAAGCATGGACAAGAAGGAGGGTACCAGAAGGGATACTGGAATCAGCTTTCTTTGTTCTCCTAAAGCCACACCTCTAAAGAGGCCTAGCCCTTCCTGTGAGTCCTCAGATGGCTCCTCCTCTCTACTGGGATCTGCACCCTCTCTCTTCCCTTCCAGACTTCAGCCTTCTCCACTGTGTTGACTGCAGTGTTAATTGCCATGAAGAATCCTAGCTTGTTTAGCCAGGGAAGTGTTGAGGCTTCCCACTCATGGTAAGGCCTTGAAGTTTGCTGTGGCCACTCCTGTTGAAAGCTTCAGTAATAAAGAGGAACTTGCTCAAGATAAATAATCTATTGCAGTTAACCAATTCTGGATTTAGTTCATGAAGTTTATCTTTTCTAGTTATGTAACTCTGGAAGACAAACCTTAATACATTATGATTAAATGTTTTTGTTTTGGGGTGGGGGGGAGGGTGGCATAAAATTTCATTATGTAGCTCTGGCTGATCTGGAACTTCCTATGTTGACCAGACTAGACTTGAACTTACAGAAATCCACCTGTCCTGCCTTTTGAGGATTCGAATGCCTCACTATCATGCCCAGCAGATTTCTTTTTCTTTCTTTCTTTCCTTCATTCTTTCTTTCTTTCCTTCCTTCCTCCCTCCCTCCCTTCCTTCTTTCTTCTTTTTTTTTTTAATTTCTTATATAATACTTGGACTTATTTTCTTTCTCTTTGTTTTCTATTCAGCCTAAAAAGAAGAAAGCAAAAGTGGACGTGAGAGCCATTAATCTGGGGACAGATTATGAATATGGTGTTTTAAATATTCACTTGACTGCTTATGACATGACTCTGGCAGAAAGCTATGCCCAGTATGTTCACCGTCTCTGCAACCGGCTCTCCATCAAAGTTGAGGAAAGGTAGGAAGGGTACCTTTTTTGGGGATGTGTCTGTATAATACTTCACTTTTCAGTCAAAGCATAGAACAAGTCACTGACCTCAAATGTTCCCGTACAGCCAGTCTCTTCCCCTCCCAACCTGCAGTTCTGGCAACCACTGAAAGGTAACTAGCCTACTTTTTAAATGTATTTACTGTGTATGTGTTGTTCATACATGTCTCAGGGTGCATTAAGCACACCGTGTGTAAAGGTCAGGATTCAGTTCTTTTGTTAAAGGGAAATGAATTCCCTTTAAGTTCTTATGCAACTTAATTATGCGAAGGAGACATTCTCAGAGTGACGCTGGTGTGTCCTGAACACTGATCTAGCACTTCTTAATCTTTGCAATAAAAATGGGACCTCGGGCTTGGAATCTTGGGCAAGATATCTTGCTAGAATTTTGTGACATGGATTGTTTTGGGAGTTTTTTGTGGGTGCTTTTTTTTTTTTTTTTGAGATGGGAGATGGGGTTTCTCTGTGTAGTCTTGGCTGTTCTGGAACTCACTCTGTAGAACAGTCTGGTCTTGAACTCAGATTTTCACTTTCCCTAGTGCTGGGACTAAAGGCATGTGGTACCGCTACCTGTCGTTATTAGTATTTCATTTCTCTTTAGTTTGATGAACTTTTCAGTAAGATGAATGCAACATACCATATTCTACATGGCCATTAGTTCAGTCTCACCACCACATCAGATCTTCAGTAGCTCACAGAGGCTCAGATTGTAATTTCATTTACACATGAAGCTCAGAGGGAAGAGTGGACTGAAAAATGACAGTCTCCAAACACACTGCTCTGTTCCCGTAGAGCTTGGCCCGCTGAAGCTAATAGAGCAAGTAAGCACAGACTTGACAGTAGTGACTCCCAACCTAGTGACTGAAATCATTCTGTCCCACTGGAGGGGTCCTCACGGCATTCAGGTGGGATACATAGGCCAGCTTCCACAACGAGAATGCCTGGTGTGGAACGTTACCAGTGCTGACGCTGAAAGACACTGGTCCAGAGCTGTTGGACACGTCGCCTTATTTCTCCATAACACACACAGTGATCAGGGCTCACCTCCAAAGTATGCCTAAGTGCTGGGCTGGATTCCCTTAGAATCCCTTAGAATTTGCTCCAGTAGCAGCAAATGCGTATCATCACCAAGGTTACACACAGGGTAATGCGTCAGTCATTGTCAAGGAGACACAGAAAAGCACTGAACACAGTGTGTTCCCTCAGAGTTCAGAGTTGTCTAGACAAGGTAAAGATATCTGCTTACCTCAACACTGGCTGCAGGTGAGCATCCTGTAGGAGATATGATATGGAGCAGTGGTTGTACTCACAGATGACCCTGGTAGATGTGGTGCTGCTGGTTTGAGTGGACACTCAACAGCTAACTCTTCTTCTGCAGTTACGCGATGCCCACCAAAACCATGGAGGTGATGAGGCTACCAGACCAAGGCAACAAAATGGTCCTAGACTCAGTCCTTACCACCCATGAGCGAGTGGTTCAGGTAGGCACTCTGGGGGATTCCCAAGTCCTTTTGCTTCTCTGGTTCCCTTTCTCCATCTTTTTCTCCATCTGTCAGACTTTTTTCCATTTGTTCTTCCTGCCCTTAAATAATGGTGTACTCTACAGCTGGGTTCTTGACTCCTCCACCTCTCCTGTTATGAAATCGCATTCATTCCCCAAGCATCATTGTATAACAATACCCCTAGGTGCACACGCACACACACAAACACACATACCCCTGATCTGTTGGCTGAGCTTTAAATACAGTAGACCTGCTGGTCTAGTGGACTTTTGTGGATGTTGCACAATGTACTCCCAGACCTCATTGTATGGAAAACTAATTGTTTGGGACAATTTCCCTCTTTGTAATCCTTTGAGCCTAATGCTTAATCCTTCTTTGTCTTCTGATACTTGTTCAGTATGGAACTTCATTCATTTTTGTGACCAAGAAATATTCCATTGTGTGAAACTTTATTTACAGTTCCATTGTATTCCTCCTTTTAGTCCACAAAAGAACCTTAACCTTATCAGCAGCAGTAAGAATGTTGAGGGAGCAACACCTAAATCTAAATATCCTAATTTTAAAGTGACTTTGAAATTTTTAAGTCTTTAAATAGCAATTTGCTTATGATGTATCTTAGGTGCCTCTTACTTGCTGCCAAGGCCCATAGTGTGAAGGAGGACGTTTGGAGCACTAGCACCATTGTGTGTCCCCTCCTGCTCTTTTTGGTGTCCCTTTCACTCCAACCATAGGAGCTTATCTGGATTTTCTAATGCTGTTATGCAGTTTACATTTTATAGAATGCTACTCTCTCAGCACTGAAAAATAACCATGCTACTGTCTAATTCTACTGGTTTAATTCCATTTTACTCCAAGACTTCACCCAGACATTATCCACTCTTTTTTTTTTTTTTTGGTTTTTCGAGACAGGGTTTCTCTGCAGCTTTGGAGCCTGTCCTGGAACTAGCTCTGTAGACCAGGCTGGTCTCGAACTCACAGAGATCCGCCTGCCTCTGCCTCCTGAGTGCTGGGATTAAAGGCGTGCGCCACCAACACCCGGCTACATTATCCACTCTTGAAGCTTTTTTTTTTTTTTTTTTTTGACTTAACCTTGACTGAGTTAAATGCTTATTTCTACTGTGGGTCCTCATAGTACTCTTTATGCCTTCCCACCACACATCTGACTCACCTCTGGATTCTCAAGACAGGCCTGACATCAACACCTGGTCAGTATGGTATCAGAGACTTCTGAGTGCCAGCCTCAGTGTCCCCTCGGGGTCCAGAAGAAGACTTACAGCGAGTGCGGGACTTAGATCTGAAGGAGAATGACCTCTCCACTATGTCTTTTTCTGCACCAGTTTCTTTATCTTCTCCGGCTGTTCTCTTCCTATTTTGTAAAGTTTCCAGCGCAAAACAAAGACAGTTCTCTGAACTTAGACGTCCCTTAATTTTTGAAGGTCCCAAATGTGATCTGCATGAAAGATTCCTTTCCTGACTGCATGTCCTGCTAAATGGAAGAGAGTTGCAGGGACATGGCTTCTAATGTACCTCAGAGAATGAAGCAGAGATTAGACTGTGAGAACCAAGGTTGTTGACTGCAGGACTAAGTACCACAAAGTGGGGGGTGACCCAATATACTAGTACATGGGAAAGAATTGTGCCCAATAATCCATACTCTGCTGAATCTTGCACTAAGGGAGAGTGCTTACAGCTTCACAAGAGATCTACTGTGAGAATCAGCCGATATACAAAAGGTGGTAGGCCCAGCACCTTGCAAACTGGGTTTATCTCCATCAGAATATATTCATTCTGGGGAAGAGACAGAAATCTTTAATAAATAAATAAATGGAAAAAAAGAGAACAAAATTTAAAAAAAAGAATATATTCATTCTGGTGGGTCAGCCTTCTGCTCTATCAGCTGAAATCTCACTGCATGATTCCTGAGGACCACAGCAATATGGTAAACCCAAATTGCATCAGAAAATCAGTATTGGTCTGGCTGTGACATTCCCTGCCTACAGGAACAATGGCAAACAGACATTTCAACAAAGAGCAAGAGAAATCCTATGGGAACTGAGCTTAGAAGCCTCTCTGAGTATCAGCCTCTACCCCACTGGAGCTGAAAGGGAGTCCAGGCCCTGCTTGCAGATCACCCTCTTCCCCACGGGAGCTGCTGCAGGGACACCCAGGCTGTGTGCAAGTCATCTGACCTTCAGTACTCTCCCTTAGACATCTCTCTTCATTTGCAGATCAGCAGTCTGAGTGCTACGTTTGCAGAGATTTTCTTGGAAATACTCCAAAGCAATCTTCCAGAAGGAGTCAAGTTGTCAGTGAGGGAGGTAGGTGCCAGTGTGGAAAGAGGCTCTTGGTGGCCTTTGTGTGCTCACAATGAGGATAAAGAAGTCAGTGCTGCTTAGTTTTGAAATAACAGAGAAATGTATATTTCAGCTGCTATCAGGAGAACTGTACAGCCTGGTGGCCCCGAGACCATTACTCTGAGGCCTCTGAGGTGTCAGGAATGATGCTGTGTGTAACACAGGAGCTAGCCTCTATCACAGCATCCTGACATTAGGGACTGAGCCCATCACCTTCAGATTCTCCCTTCAGGTAGCTATAAAGCAGAAACATGTTTTAAGATTATAAACAGTATAATGAATGCAGTGGTTCTCAACCTTCATAACACTGTGACCCTTTAATACAGTTCCTCATCATTTTCTTATTGCTACTTCATAACTTATTTTGCTACTATTATGAATCAATGTAAATATCTGTGTTTTCTGATGGTCTTAGGCAACCCCTGAGAAAGGGTCATTTGACCCCCAAAGGGATCACGATCCACAGGTTGAAAACCACTGCATCAGGGCATTACCTTAGAGAGACGTTTTCTAGACCACCAATGAATGATTATAGCTCCATTGAATGTATCTGGTAAAGACTGAGATGCATGCAGAAATAAGCAACATTAGCCTAAATACTGGGTTCAGATCTAGTTGGCATGACAATCCTTCTTATGACACAGTTCCCATTATGTCATGTTAGCCTGGTATATTGCTTCATCTAGCTTCCCTTGTTCTGTCCACACCTGTCCAGTGATTATTTCAGTTCTACAGAGATCTGCATATAGGGTGAGAATGTGCTGGTTGTGTTAAAAATATTGCAGTACCTGTGCATGCAATCCTAGCACTGAGGAGGCAGAAACAGGAAGATTGAGGTTTGAGGCCAGCCTGGTCTAAATAGTAGGTTCAGGGTCAGCCTGGACTATATACCAAGACCCTATCTCAAAAAAGCAAACAAGACTGGTGAGATGGCTCAGCAGGTAAAGGTTCTTGCTGCCAAACCTGACAGCCTGAAGTCAATTCCCAGGACCACATGGTGGAGGGAGAGAACTAACTTTCAAATGTTGCCCTTACTTCCATGTGGGTAAACATGCACACACATACACACACACACACACACACACACACACACACACACACACACACAACATCATTCAAAAAAAAAGAGGCAGAGGCAGGGGGATCTCTGTGAGTTGTAGGCCAGCCTGGTCTACAGAGTGAGTTCCAGAACAGCCATGACTACTATGAGAGAAACCCTTTCTCATAAAACAAACAAATAAACCCAAAGTTTTTAGACCATATGGCTCAGTGGCAGTGTTTACCTCTTATGTGAAAGGCCCTGGTCTATAACATGATGCAAAATCAAATAAATATAACCAGAAAACTTCTGGTGTAATACTTGTGGCATCCTGTTTACATGTCTGTCTTGGCTAGCATACTAAGATGAAGTGTGTGGTTCAGTGTTGGTTCCTGGTACCCAGTTCAAGTCTGGGTCACGCTGCATGCTCATTGAGAAAGGGCTGACTCTGGATTACTCTCTGCAGAGCTGCCCAAGGACCCTTTTTGGAGGTGCATTTGTATGTATGGGCAATAAAAGTTCTGTGGTGATTGCCATTTGTTTTCCTTGTCCTAGCACACCGAAGAAGACTTCAAGGGAAGGTTCAAAGCTCGGCCAGAACTGGAGGAATTGTTGGCCAAGTTGAACTAAACACTGCAAGCCCTCTCATGTCATCATCGGCCTCAGAGAAATCTTCCTGCATGAAGACATAAGCCAAGAGAATGAGTGCTCATACTGGGAACGCCTCCTGTGTCTGTGGCATGCGGTGCTTGCCAGTTACCATTTACCTAATAAAATTTGCTATTACCTCTGTGTGTGTGTGTGTGTGTGTGTGTGTGTGTGTAGCAATTATCCTTTAAATTTTTTTGTTTTGTTTTGTTTTTTGAGACAGGGTTTCTCTGTGTAACAGACCTGGCTGTCCTGGAACTAGCTCTGTAGACCAGGCTAGCGTCAAACTATCTTTATGGATTTCTGTTTCTCCTTGTCTAATCATGTTTTCATTCCACCATACTTTTTCAGTTAGTGTGAACTCATGTTTTAAAGCAATCTAGTATAAGCTAATTGTTTATGTGTTTGTTTGTTTGAGTCAAGGTCTCTATATAGCCATTGACTGTTTTGGAATTTGCTCTGTAGACAAGGGTAGCCTCAAATGCACAGAAACCCACCTACCTCCTTGCCCCAACTGGGATTAAAGATGTGTGCCACTGTGCTCGGTATGATTATGACTTGGCATGCCTTTAATCCCAGCACTTGGGAGACAGAGACAGGTGGAGCTCCATGAGTTCAAGGCCAACCAAGTCTACCAAGTGATTTCCAAGACAGACTACAAAGCTACCGAGAAACCCTGTCTCAAAAAAAAAAAAAATGTATCTTTATATAGATATAGAGACATGTAGCTCTGTAATGAATTAGACTTTACAACATAAGTGAACTCTGTGCTCATCGATTTTCTGTTGCTTTAATGAAGTTCCCGAGGCTGGGTTCTTTATAAAGAAAAAGATTCAACCAATTGTGATAATACACACCTGTACTCCCAGCACTTAGGAGGTAAAGGCAAGAGGATTAGGAGTTCAGGGTCATTTGCAGGTACATAGTGACTTCAAGGGCAACTTGGCTCACATGAGACTCTACGTACATACATATGTACATACATAAAAGATACTTGCTAAGTGTGGTGGCATGTATCATCCCAGTATTCGGGAGGAGAAGCATTGCCAAGTTCAAAAACTTGATCATGGTCAGGGGTCAGAAAATATGGTCTATGAATCAAATCCTACCTTTGCCTATTTTTAGTTTTTTGTTTTTTCAAGACAGAGTCTCACTATGTAGCTGTGGCTGTCCTGGAATTTGCATGTAGCCCAGCCTGGCCTTGAACTCACAGAGATCTGCTTGCCAAGAGCTGGGATTAAAAGTGTGGACCACTATTTCTGGCCCTATTTTTGTCGTATAATAATTTATTGTGGTAACATTTACATACCACAGAACTAGTGATTGTAGGACTGGAAAGGTGGCTTGGTGGGTAAAGATGCTTGCTGCCAAGCCTTGTGACCTCCATTTGGCTCCTGAGACTTACAAGGTAGAAAGAACCAACTCCTGAAAGTTGTCTGCTGACCTCTGAATGTCACACACACAAAAATCAAATGTGTAATAAAACAATCTAAATTAGCCATTTTGAAATGCACATTTCAGTGTTCTATAGTATATTCACAATACTGTGTAATCACTTCTTGTCTGGTTCAACTTCCTGTTAGTAAAAGTTTGTTGGAAAAGAGTCATGATCATCTACTTGCTGTTGCCTCTGACTGCACTGGGGTGCGGTGGGTGAGTTGAACAGTCACACAAATGGCAGCTGTCTTGCCCATTGTAAACTTTGTCAGATCTTTGGCTAAATCATTGTTTCTCAGACTGCTCATGAGGGTCTCGAGTCAGGGTTTTTGAGCACTAATCACTAGACTGCAGTCAGCTTTTTTTTTGTCCTGAAGATAAGGAGTAAAGGTTTTAACTTTGTATCTTACCATTTCCCAGATGATGACGCTGTTGCTTCTCTGGGGATGTCTAGTCTAGGAGACTCTATTGTGCTTGCTTCTCTGAGCATCAGTGTCTGTTGTGGATGGCCATGATACTAGCTACCCTCAGCCAGCATGATAAAGGTGAACAACTGATTCTACAGTGTGCTATGCTGGCAGGCTATGATGTTCAGCAGGTACTCCACACTCTGTAGCCCAGTCTGCCCTTGAGCTCAGGAAAGCAATCGGACTGTCTTAGCTTCCCTTGCTGGGATTAGAGTGAGACAACACTCCCAAACTCATGTGCTATTTTATTCTTTGGTGGTGCTGGGGAACAAACAGGGTTTTGTCCTTGTCAGGTTGTGCTTTCTTCCACTGAGGCAATCCCTGCCTTTAGTTACTATCTATTAACAGGATCTTGCTATACTACCCAGGCTAGCCTCTAACCTGTGAGTTTCCTCTTTCATGCCTAGATGTTTCTTTAACTGCATTAAAAAAAAAAAAACAGAAAAATGCTGATGCTTAATTGCTGTAATCATAAAGGATTTTCTTAAAATAAGTCCACATATGCCTGTACTATACTTCAATTTTTTTATTTTGTTTTGAGACAAGTTTTCTATGTGTAGCTTTGGAACCTGTCCTGAAACTCACTCTGTAAACCAGGCTGGCCTCAAACTCATAGAGATCCTCCTGTCTCTGCCTCCTTGAGTGCTGAGATTAAAGGCATGCGCCAACACCGCCTGGCAACCAAGCTTCCACTTTATCCCCTTCCTCCTACTCTCTCACCCTCCCTCTCTACTCTCTCATTCAGGATATTTTCCCCTTCCTTCATGCTACATTGTTTAACTAAATGCATTTCCACTTATAGTGAGAGTTTTTTGGGACACAGCCCCACTGTAAATCATGTAGACACATTTCCATTACAGACTGGAATACAGAGTAACTGTGTCCTTACTGATGGGAATTTACCCTCTGACTGTGCTGCATGCTGCAGGACACACAGCAAATGCATCTTACGACATGTATTCAGTAGAGGCTCTTATGAAACGGGTTTGTATATTTTAGGGTTTTTTTTCTGAGATAGGTCCTCACAAATGTAGCTATGGCTGTCCTGGAACTCAATGTAGCCTGGACTGGCTACAGTCCTCCTGTTTCAGCCTTGCTCCAATTATAGGCATGTGTCATTGCAGCCAGCTTTGTGTATTTAAATAGTTTAGAGTCCACCAAATTGTCCTCCAAAAAGTTAGTGCTCTCCCTCCTCACAAGAATGAGTCTGTTCCTTTCTCCACCAATACTGGTCACTTAATTTGCCAGCAGAATCAGCTAACATTTTATGTTAAAAGCGTGTGGGTTTTTTTTTTTTTTGGATTATCTGTAATAGAGCACCTATTTATATTTTCCTATAATCTCAAGCATATTCTTTTTTAAATAATCTCATTTTATTGGTTAGGCTAGACTAAAACTTACTATGTAGCCCAGTCTGGCCTAAAACTTATGGGTGATTTTTCTGCCTCCGCCTCCTAAATGCTGGGATATAAGTAGGAATGGGCCCCAGTCCAGCCAGTGTTTCTTCTTGTCTTTTCTTACTGACCTTGATGTACTTTGAATTTGTTCCAGATGGTAATTCTTCCGACGTTACAAATAAGTAATGTGTACTTCAATTTTAAAAGTCCCTCTTTTATTGATAGAGTTAAAAAGTCCCTCTTTTTATCTCTGAGATTTTTTAATTTTTTTGGACAGAATCTCATTATGTAGCTATAGCTGTCCTGGAACTCACGAGTACACTAGGCTGACCTTGAAATCAGAGAACTGCCTCCCTCTGCCTTGAGTACAGGGATTAAAGGCGTGCACCACACTGTGCCCATCTCTGGGATTTGTGCCGACACCCCAATGCACACTACCTGCCCCACTGCTGACTCAACCTCAACTCAAAGCAGGAGTGGACCGGCAGAGATGCAGCTCTATCTACTCACTTGATCTTCAACTTGAAACAGGGCTTTACTCTTCACTAAACTTCTCTACTTTCTGTCTGTCTTTCCTAACATTTCTGCACACAAGGCTCAAGTAGGTGTTAGGGTCTACCATACTTCAGACTTGGACAACTAACATATAGATGCCTGAGAGATGTTTGTTAATAATGATAAATTAAAAACAAAACACCCAAGCTTCTGTGGCAGAGTCACCTTCCAAACCCTTTCCCATTTCCAAATAACTTCCAGGGGCATGCAGAAACAGATTTCATGGTTTCGCTGAATAAAAATGAGAAGCAACTGTTGATGTTATAAATAGGAAACAGCACCCCAGAGAAGGCATTATCAGCTCTGTCAAACTGTTGTCAAGTAGGAACATATAGTGGTTCCATTTTTCCAAAGGTCAAAGTCTGTACTTTAATGTCAAACATACTTCCAAAATGTCTGGCAAGCTTTGTGTGTTGGTAGGATGGGGCAGGCTCTGAATCTGTTACACTGAGCCTGACATACACCATGTACTCAGCTGAAAATGTTTCCTCGATAAGTGTGGTAACACATGCCTGTAATCTCAGTATGTGGGGTGGAGGCAGGAAGATCATGAGTTTAAGGTGATCCTTGGCTATACAGAAAATTCAAGGTCAGTCTGGACTACATAGATTCCGTCTTTTAAAAAATGTTTCTCGATTAGCTCCTGACCCCCATTAAACTGAATAAAACACCCAGGAAAGATAAAGGCTCTTCTGTCATTGTTGGAAACTGAGTTCACTGTTTGAGCGTGGCCTCTCGCACTAGTCTCTAAGCAACAGCAAGGCCACATAACTCTTCAAATTGCACATTACTAACACAGTGTCTTAGAAACACTTTCTGTTGTTAAATTTGTGACTGAAAAACAAAGGCCTGATTGAACAACCAATTTACCTTTAGGCTGTGAATTTACTTACAAAGTACTTGGCAAACTCAAAGAGGTAGGATGGAGGGGTGGTCCATATCCCACTAATTTTAGATACAAGTATGGGTGGAACAGGAACGGTGTAGATGTGTCTGATCTGATCATAAAGTAAAAACAGCTCATGGTGCTTTCAACCCTAGTCCCAAAGATGGTCCGAATTATTTATCTCCTATTGCACACTCTACTACTTAGGATTGCTTCTTCCCAGGGTCACTCTGGGTGCTTATTTCTTCAGGGCCAGGTTGTGGGATGACGGTTTAGGGTCTCAGTGTTGAGCACTGGCTTGCTCTTTCCTCCTCTGCAGTTCCTCCCGCCTTCTTGCCTGCTGTGCACTCATGCAATCCCTGAATGCCTGCACTTGTGGCTGGCACTGACGCCAGTCCTG